CGAATTTACACTACATGAGGGGATGCTTCCACGGGAGTTTCATCTTTTTTAGCCCAAGGTTTCTGAAGAAGATTTTTTAAAGATCCCATAATATTTTCATCAATTCATAATTATCTCCCCTTGGAAGAGGACTTGGCTGGCCCAGTGGTTTCTAAGAAGAAGTCGAAAATGTGAAAAGTTTACAGACAGACATACATACGGAGGTACAGACGGACTACAGACAAAATGTGATTAAAAAAGCTCACTTAAGCTTTAGCTCAGGTGAGCTAAAAAGCAATGGAATTACATGTATAAAACAATGTTATTTCCTGTTAATTGAAAGCGACGTACTGTTCATGATTCTTTTTTAAGCTAATAGCACGTTAAAAAAAAACAAACATTTCCTTCCATTTTTACGCCAATTAAACAGCATTATTTATTAAATGACCATTAAATAACTGTAAATTTATTCTTCCATCATTCAAACAAAGTGAAAAACTATTCTAAGATTTATTCAGAAAATGATTTTGATTGTTTTAAAGTAAGTAATCGAAAGAGTATACTTAAGAATTAAACATTTGAAAAATTTTAAAAAGCAATACAATTGTATACATGCAAACTTGTGTCAAAACCTGAGATTTAACTCGTCTTTGCATATGATTAGGAAAACGTCATCTTATGAATTTGTGTATCGATCGGTGTCAGGGCGGCTACAAACGGTAAGGCATGCCTTAAAAGTCATGGAACTTAAGTTCTAGATTCCTCAGCTATGTAAAGGAAGGTCAGAGTTCAAATTCATGGTACATTGTAAAGAAGTTTAATCATGACGTCAAAGATAATTTAACAGCCCAAAAAACTAATTAACGACATTGTGATTTGTAAATAACAACTTAGACTAATTTATTTTATCAATTATTTATAAAATCTTGTAAAATTGCTATATTTGATAGCAATACAGATTTGTAATGCAGGAAAGCATCTCGTCAAATAAGACGTCATCAGCCTTAAAATGACGCAGTACAGATGATTCAGAGGACTAGATTTACTGTTTAAATAAATACAAAAGTGCTTAAATAAATATGATGTCATTCCAATAAAAAAAATAATCATTAAAACTCAAACAAAAAATCTATTAAATACAATCTGTGTTTTCGTGATTTACATCAAAAGTGCAAGGGCATATACTACTTTGTTTGAGCTGAAATATGCAATGTTTGCTTATAAAGTGTATAGTTTGAAAAGTGCTGGGGGCTTATTCTGGTCTGCATACCATTATTTTTATTTATATCAGAGTTTAAGCGAAGTAGGAATTTTTAGCTATAATAATACACATTTTCGGCAAAGTTTTCAGTACTTCTCAAACACCACAGACTAGCTCCCAGCACTTTTTGGGTAGAGGAAATAAACACCATTAAACATGCATCAATTTTTTTTCTGTATGCACTTGCACTATCCTCATTTCCTTCATTCGGTTTAACAATTTTATTTTTACACAAGTCACGCTGATACATGCGATATAACTCTCCATATCCATTATGGATATCCTATCCATTATGGATAACTATATTACATTTTTTACAGGTATTCGATAGCTTTGTTACATTTTTTTAAAAGAGCTTCAAGTAATACATATTAAATCGGTGCTAAAGTAACATTTTCCATATCGGTCCTTAACATAGCTGAGTCACCATGTGTACAGCCTAAATAAACTTTTTTTAGCCTTACAAGCCTTACATAGGAATAGAATCTTTTTCATAATTTTCTTTTTCAAAAGACTTAGCTAAAATTATTTCTAAACCAATAAATAAATTTAAGTTTACTGAAAATTTTTTTTATTGTAATCAATAAGTGTCCTCCTTGAATGTGAAAGTCTAAAACATAGTATTGCTGTGCTTTGTAATGGTAATTTTGTTTCATGTCTTACCGAGGTAGGAGAGGCAGAGAGTGACCAATCAAAGTCTGACCAATCAAAATCTAACAAATGAAATTCTGACCACGCGGTGTGTTACTCTGCCTTTTCTCCCATCTACATCCTTGGAGGACGGACGTTTTTTCAGAGTTTGTTATTTATTATATCAAGATTTTGGTGAGTAAAATTATTTCATTTTGTCTTCAATAGGTAAAATTTCAGTTGTCATTCTTGGACACTCAATTGAGCGTCGTTTTCATGAATTCTTGAAACATGGTGACGTTAGATATTCTGCGACCCTTGGTCTTGGAGAAACGCATTCCGTTTTGTACAGGTGTGTGGGTGGAAGAAAGGTTCGTGATGTAATATCTAAGGATATGGAGAGCGTGTTTGCTTTAGATCCAGATGTAGTTGTTCTAATGATTGGAGAGAACAATATTAGTCCTAGTACCGACGCTACCTTGTTAGCTGCAGAAATTGAATCTGTGGTATAGGTAATTCATCGCCGCTATAAAGTTGCGAAAATAATTGTTTGTGAATTATTGCCACGTTTTGGTGTTCGTTTTGGGTACAATGATATTGCAGACAAAGTAAACGCAATATTGGGAGATGCATTGCCAGCACTTGGAAACTGCGTATCTTGGGAACATGGGAATTATTTTATTTCTCCCCGTGAAGGAGACTGCAGTCGTAAATTTGTTCACGACGGAGTTCATATGAATAGTCAGTGGAATGTTTATTTATATAGAAGTATTAGGGGGGCTTTTATTTCAGCAAGAAGAAAGATATCCTTCAAATTGATAAATGTTTATCACCATTTTGTTACTTTTAATGTTCGTCAGTTTTCAGATAGATATTCTTTAGAATATACAAGATTTTGTTATTTTAACAGTATGATAGGCATTTCGGATGTCTAGAAATGTATTACAGGTATATATATCCTTTTTCTGTGAAGAAAATGCGTTGGAAAAGTATCAGCCAATTTGTTTGTTTTGTGGTTAGTTAATTACTAAAATATTGTGAATTTTTACAGTACTTTAGGCAGATCCTAAGTACAAGTTTCAGGCAGTTTTTTGTACCTGCCAAGTTTCAACCAATTTGGGTTGTTTCATTTTAGTTTCAGTTTTTACCCTGCAGATGGCGAGTTTTTCCATAGTTTTTTATTTGATGCCTATGAATGTATTTTAATGCATTCCAGACTTATCCTTTGTCTGTGAAGGAAAATCGTTGGAAAATGTTTGCCAATATGTTTATTTTGGTATTAGTTGATTACTAAAATATTGTGAATGTTACAGTACTTTAGGCAAGGCCTAAGTACAAGTTTCAGGCAGTCTTTTATACTCGCCATTTTGTACCCATGCGGGTCTTTTCATTTTAGTTTCAACTTTTACCCCAGCAATTTATTTTCCATCGTTTGTTTATTTGATTAGTCTAGAAATGCATGTTGATGCGTTTATCCTTTTTCTGTTTAAAAAGATAACAATTCGTTGGTAAAATATCTGCCAATTTGTTTCTTTCGGTATAAGTTGAATACTAAAATATTGTGAATTTTTACAGTTCCTTAAGCAAGTCCTAGGTACAAGTTTCAGGCAGTCTTTAGCACTTGCCATTTAGCCAGTTTGGTTTTTTTAAATTCATTTTAGACCCACTTTTACCTTGATGATTTTCATATCGATTTCACTTCAAGTTGATTTACCTTATCATGTTCGATTTATTGGTCCAGATTTTGAAAGAATAATAATAATAATAATGATAATAATAATAAAAAAAATCCGCATTTCATTTTTGAAGGTATAATTTTACTGTTTGTATTTGCTATCCTGTTTATATAATATTGTGTCTTATACATATAGTTGTTTTTCACTATTCATTTATCAAGGTTTTATTTGTTCTGCAACTGCGCTTAGATACATTACAAGCCCTTCAAGTACCTCGTTTGTAGCAGTGATGAAAACAATTAACAACAGCCGAACAGGTAGTTATCTGTAGGAAAGGCATTACAGCCTTCTTGGGAATTTGACACGGTGCGAGGGGTATCGGCTTCAAAAGTGGTGATTTATTACTTTTGTCAGCCTTTCGTTTTATCTGGCGGATAGCTCTTACTGATCAGCAGCGGCTTCGTGCTGTTTACTACTGGCATTTGCAGTCGCACAATGGGTGGTTTTATTGGCTTACGGCAATTTGGGAAATACAGACCCAAACAGAAAAAAACAGCCTATCGGACCATGCTAACAACTCATGTGTAAATCATGGTTTTGATATGATTTCGGTATAGGAAAATTTTACATGTAAATGAGCTAATGAGTCATGGTTCTGATTTGATCTGTTAAACTAAACAACTAGCAAGAAAACCATGGCCCTGGTATGATCTGTTGTAGAGCTAACAACTCGTATTAAAACCATGATCCTGGAATGATATGTTGTAGCTAACAACTCGTATTAAAACTATGATCCTGAAATGATCTGTTGTAGCTCACAACTCGTATTAAAACCACGATCCTGGTATGATCTGTTGTAGCTAACAACTCGTATTAAAACCATGATCCTGGTATGATCTGTTGTAGCTAACAACTCGTATTAAAACCATGATCCTGGTATGATCTGTTGTAGCTAACAACTCGTATTAAAACCATGATCCTGGTATGATCTGTTGTAGCTAACAACTCGTATCAAAATCATGATCCTGGTATGATCTGTTAACTTGAACAACTCATAGGAAAATTCTACTTCTTATACAATGTAACTAAACACTTTGATATTTGCAATAAAGTTCTCTTTAATGTTTGATATTAAATAATTTCAGTTACCAAAAATTAAGAAAAATATTATACACATACATGTATGTCACATGAACCATGACGTCATATAAATATAATCCCAACAAATGATCTTCCTTAATGAGATGACGATTTAAATATAAAACATTATCCAAACTATTCACTGAATTTTATAAGAACAGAATCACAGAAATCCATTCTTCTTAAAGAATAATCCGGAACTAATTGATATCACTGCTTATTTATGATTCTGCAAAAGCATATAATTACAACATTTGTTTACTACAGAATCAGTAGAGTGGTGGATCTATTATTCAGAATCACAAACACTGAAAGGCTCCCAATGAAGTACGTCTATCCTCTGATATAAGCTCTTTATATGTGTATAAAAGCACCCTGAAAAGAAACGTAGAGAAAGTGGTATTTATTTAACGATCAACATATCATTATCTTTAGATCATGAAAATATGAAATATTCAAGTACTTTCCCCATTGCATTAGTGAAAAGAATTAGATTAATCACCAAAAGAATAATGTTGAAATGTAATATTATTTACGTACACAAATTTTGTCTTCACCAAAGGCGGGTCTTTTGAATTTGGTAATTTGAATGCAACTCAGATGTTAATCATGAAGATGGAAATGTCGGTAGCTGCAAAAGAATTTCATTTTTATAAATAAACATTTTATATAACGATTAACATGTACATGTACAACAAATATTTGAATCAAGGAGGTCAATTTGATGCTTAAATTAAGTTTTCAATTCAAATCCATGTAAAGCTTTGCTATGTCTCTTCTACACATTTAGAAAGAAAAAATAAATCATGCACTTGCTGGTAGAAACTAGAAATTAAAAAAAGGTCAATAATAAAATTAATGAATTATACTCACCGAGTATAGAGTTAATAGTCCAGCACTTATTTTTATTGCTTATATGATGCAAAGGCTTTTCTTTTAAATCGGCAACAAGAAAACGCGCACATCTTGTTTATCAGAATTCAAATTCTGACCTAGATCAGCTGCAAACTACTGTACTACAGCGTGCTGCCCAGCAGGAGAATTGCATAACAAGGTTACTATGACTCTGAAACTGAGCAGTGATCCAATCCTAATCTAATGCCTCAAAGTTAGATTGGGAGTGCATCGCAAATATTACATGAAGATATTTAAACAAAATACATGTGTGCTAATTTAAATATGAATTATTGTATTTGTTTGTCATTTCATTCATCTTCAAAAAAATTATTGTCTTTGTAACTATACCTGTACATGCTGTGTGCATTTTAATTATTAAAACTTAATTTTTCTGTTCTCTTTTAAATAAGACTTTTATTGATGTATGCATGTTGTTTGATTCTCCAAGCTAGAGTGAATTTAAAGCTTGCATTTTCACCTATCATAGATGACAAAGTTAACACACCATACCAGGATCATACAACCAATTCTGACAAAGTTAACAAATCATATAAAACTCATGATTCTCAACAGAGAAGTTAACAGATCATGTGTAACTAGTATGGAGTTTAAAGACAAAGTTAAGAAACCATATCAAAATCACAAACTTTAGGCAGTTAAAGTTAACGAATTATTTCAAACTCATGTTCTTTTGTTTTCTAAGTTAATGACACATGTCAGAATCGCAAGAAAATCATAGCAGACTCATTCCCCAGAAACAAACCATATCAGGATCATACTTCCTTATTTGTCATCTATGATTCCAGTATGATCCATTAAATGGATAATGTCTAAATCATAGTTCAAAACCTTGTATTCGTGAGTTTGATATGATTTGTATGTGTTTTTGGCATGATTTGTTAGGAAAAGTTTTTGTTTGGGGATCTGTTCCTAAACACTTTTGGTTCTATTATTTACTATATTTCCGAAAAAATTTTGGCAACAACTGTAGGAGATACAGGGTGTTTTATGGAAAACCGGCAGAATCATTGAGGTGATTGAAATTAATTGTAAGAAAAGGTTAACCAATTTCTAGTTTGTTGTATTAGATTTACGTATTGTATTGAGCCATGAGAGTGGTTATAATATGTAATATTAAATATCAATATGATCAAATACGTTGTCATGTAACTGACTCTTACAGTTGGGGCCTACACTACAGTGAGGTCTTACAATTCTTGTTTATTGTCAATTAAGGCCGAAGCCTTTTACAGTTTAGGTTTATACAAAACATAATATATTGGATACATACTTCTTCCTTAATTTTAAATTTCCATAGGTATATTTACCAGCATTATGCCAGGCAAAAGGAATAAAGCCCAACAGTCCAAAACAAGTCAGGCGAAAAGACCACGTCGTGCACAAAACGGAAGTAGAGGGTCCACCGCCAGTGATGCTGTGGCCGTCGATACAAGCACCCAGCCTCTTGATTTTCCTCCTGAAACCTTGGCTGCATTAACCCAAACCATAACAAAGTCAGTCACGGAGAAGGTGTTAGCAGAGATAAAACCACTGCTGCAAAATCAGGGGAGTATATCTGTTCATAATATAGGGGGAGATAGGGGAAATAATGCTTCCACTACATCAAGCAATAGCTTAACAGCAGGTCCTTCTGGGTCAGTTTGTCAAATAACAAATATGTAGGTGGATTCAGGTATCTCAGGATTGGTATCGGGCGCTGTAATTGAACACAGTTCACAGATTGTGGGTACTGAACTTCCACCTGCAGCAAATGTAGGTAAGAAATCAGGTTTTGTAAGCTCATCAGTACCAATAGAGGCAACGGTTTCTGACAAAATAAAATCTAAAATTTGGTCAAAACAATATGTTGATATGGCTCTGTTGTTAAAAAATATGATAAGGAGTTCAGGGAACTCATAGAACAAGGTGAGGTAGAATGGGGTGATGTCCATATGGAGATATATGTTAATGCTCGGCTCAAACAATCAGAAAAAAAGTCAAACAAATTAACACAAGACCGTTCGTCACTTGGTACGTATAAGGAAATCCCTCAGGGGTCATGCTTTGCCTATCACAAAGCTGGAAGGTATTGTAGGCTTGGTTCATCATGCAAATTCCAGCACAGATGTTATAATTGTGGTAGCTTTCATCCAATCTATATTTGTAAAAAATCATTTCAACGGCCATTTCGTTTCTTGGACAAATCCAGAACCCAAATACCATTTCAAGGAAATTGCACATCAGCCAACACAGGTAATGCAAAATTCTCAAAGCAAACCTATCCCACAAAAGGGTCCAACTCCAGTAAATCCCAGTAGATTAGCGTACTTGGTGGTGGGGTATGATAAAGTAGAAACAGAATTTTTAGTTAATGGTTTTCAATATGGTTTCCACATTGGTTACACAGGGGAGAGTAGAAATACTCTTTCAAAAAATCTAAAATCAGCACTGGACTTACCAGAAGTTATTAGCAAAAAGTTACGCAGCACAGTTAAGGTTACAAATGGAAATATTGGTGATTTTTTAAGATAAAAATGTGCATACTTTATTAGGATGGGCGATTCTTTTTACGAATTCACTGATATCAAAAAAATGTTATGTAGTTTAAATCTACATGTTGGGGACATTTATATTTTTTATTTAGACTTGTCATGTGATGTCGACGTCACATGACTTTAGCAATTATACTTGCAGTTTAGAGGTCATCTATAAATTTCAATATTGCAAGGGCATAACCAAGTTAAAAATCTTAGTTAAGGTCTTCCGTCTCCAACGGAAGACCTTCTACTGATTCTGTTGTTTCTTTTCCACTATTATTATTATTATTCTTTTTTTTCTTACCGATTTTGTGCAGACGATTTCTCGAGAACGCCTCAACAGTTTTTCATGAAACTTTCAGCAATGATAGGAAACTATTTGAACTTCATGCGTTTTTTTTTATTTTGCCGTCGTCACTTCCGGTCGCGAGATATGGCCATTTTTCTGTTTTTAAAGTGTCATTTTGTCCGAGAGTGTTCTCGAAAACGGTTTGAGATTGGGTCCTGAAACTTTCAGGGATGATAGATTATGACTCGCAGATTTCAGAAGGATATATGGTTTTTGTTGCCGACACGTCCGTCGTCCACCGGAAGTATTTTAAAAATATGCAAAATTTTATTTTTTCTTTTTTAAATGTTTCTTATGGAGGCAAATAGAGTGTCTCGAGTAATATTATGTCCACCGGAAGTTATTTTTTCCAAACCGGAAGTAGTCCAAAAAATGAGCATTTTTCTTCGAAATTATCAGGGATGGTTCCTTCACACTCAGAGAGGAGTTATAGTTCATTTCAAGTACTTTCTGTCACACCGGAAGTGAATTATAAAGACTGGAAGTTGTTTGAAATTGATAGATTTCACTCTGAAATGTGTTCTCACGTATCTTTAATAATTGATCTGAACACTTTTTTTCATTTAAAGTTGTTTTATAACCTTATCAAAAATCGAACGGAAGACCTACTCGTTGCTTGCAACGAGGTCTCATCTAGTTATTATTATTATTCTTTTTTTTTTAGACAAAATTTTGTGCAGGCGATTTCTCGTAAACTATTCGGTGGATTTCAATGAAAATTTCAGGAATTATAGGTCATTATATGAATTTTATATAAAATTCCGTTTTTTGGAAAATTCGCTACCAGTGCAAAGTTATGGGCATTTTCCTGATTTTAAAATGCAATTTTGTCTTCGAATGTTCTCGAAAACGGCTCAAAATATATTATCTGGAGACTTGTTAGAGATGATAGACCATGAGTTATAGATGTGCAATTTTGCCTTCGTTTGCGTCGTCAGTACTTCCGGTCGCTACAGGAAGTGAATTCAAAATGTGCACTTTTTCAACTTTTTTTGTTTTTCAATATTTTTCTTTGATATAATTAATGGTAATTAAGACCCTACTGGAAAGGCCAAATATATAATTTATTTAAGAATTGATCAATCCGCACACTAGATATTCGCATTTAAAAATCTGAAGCGTGTCCAAGATGGCGGCGGTCTTCGTAAACTCCGCCATTAAGCAAGTCGGGTTCTAGAAGTTCGGCTGAGTGTTTAGATGAACGAAACTTCTACCAAAAAGATTTATGAAATGTAAAGGATTCTTTAGATTGCTACATCACAATTACGTTGCATTGCTTTTAGTTTTAATATGAGGTTTCCTCAAACTTCTATTGAAATTGCTTTTGTCTGCATCTCATAGTAGAATACAACATGATTACAAGTGGAAATACGATGACTACAGTCTTTTGTTTTGCACCAGGGAAAACTTATCCTAAACCATGGTTATAAGTAATAGCTTTTCAAGAAACTTGCCTGACTTAATATTCACTATGTTTCTGAAGTATTACTTGACTTCTGTTTATTTTACCTCTCAGGCTTATTAAATGAATAGAAAAGACAAAAGTAAGAAAAACATTTTTTTATAAAAGATTGTTTATTAAAGATTATAGAAATATTCTTGTAATAAATGCAAGTTATTGAACATAAAGAGTATCAGATTCCTTGACCGTCGGAAGGCGAGTGATTTTTTTTCAGTGAAACATTCCAGTCTTTTCATGAATGTGTAACTCATCTCCACTTTGGGGGTAAACAGGATACAAAATTCGTGGAAAATTTTACTGAATTCACAACTTTAGTATAACTTGGCCGTATACGATATATTTGTATAATGTGATTTTACTTTCTAACGCTCGAAATTCCGGTAATAAGAACATACATTTCTAAGAGGAAGGTATGGTTTTAGCTTTATTGGGCCTTAAAAATGTAATGACATCAAAAAGTTTTGAGTTTAATAAATGACTCTGATAAATCAGGAAGGAATATGGCATGAAGGTTTACCATTCTGCAAATATGACGTCATTAATGGGAGGCATTTCTCTATTATCAAAAGAAAAAGCCTCAAAATGGCTCATTTCAAGGGTGATTTTCCTTTAGAAAACAGTGTCCACAGCCGTCGCCCACGCTAATTTTTTGATATTTTGTGCAAAATTCAATAACAAATCACATATCTCAAGATCTTTGTGGGCGATGCCTGTGGACAATGTTATCTGAAAGAAAATTCCATTGAAAATTTGTGTCTTCTTCAACTTTTTAAGAAAATACGGGAAAATGCACATGTTTATGACGTCATAAATAGCATTTAAAAACACATGTGAGAAAAATTACTTGTATGATTTTTCTGCATCGAATTACAATTATTTAAAAA